TATATATGGAAATTTTAAAATAGATTGCTATTTGAAAATCGAAATTTCGGATTGGTTTCACCATCAAAAAGCTGTCCTGGGATAATGGTGACGGATGTAGCAACTGTTATAGGTAATTTAATGTAGGATATCTATAAGCAACAATCAACCATTGCTAACGAAAAAACAATTCTAAGCGGAGTTCGGTTGATAATGTTGCTTTTTCAACAATATATATTTCATAATTACATGCATGCATTATTTAGTTTCTTTAATAATATTTGTTTAATATTGTACCTATTTTTCCGGGTTTTTCCATTTATTGGAAAAATTCCTGAGTAAATCAAAAAAATGACCTCCTTAAAGTGCCTCCTCAGTCAGATTTCTTTTTAGAAAAAGAGCTACCATTGTAAATCGGGGCAAAATTGCTGGTAGAAAAGTTGTCCACAGAAAAAAAAAAATTAATAAACATCATTGTAAAACCAATACATTCCTCGGTGCGCTCAAAATCTAAAATGACGGGAAACGAAAAATAACGGTAATGTCACTGTTAAGAGCCACTTGTTAGTTAAATGGTCCAAACAAATTATACGAATTCCGACAAAAGTTAATACTTTCCGAGATAACGGGCGTCCTGTCGTAAACTGATCAACCTGTATAAACCATTGCAGTGTAGATATAATTTCACTGCGCACTGCATTAGTATTACACAAGTATAATATCGCAATTCGCACTACATACAGTTTGAAACTTAAATATTATTATAGCGTACATTGTAATGTCTAGTTCAATAGTTACTTAATATTGAATATCGTTATAATATTTTAATCAGGCCGTACCGAAAATGATTTATTATTGTGAGAATTGTGGCAAATTCGATAATAATTCGCTTAGTCGTTGGGAAACACTGCAGTAGACTCTTCACTCACAGTATAAGTATAGGGATGCTTCATCCATGTATGATGATATTAGGGCGTTTCTTAATTTTATATGATGAAAAAATAATATAATATGTTTTGTCTTACCTTTTTATTTGGGTGTGTACATGTATACAAATGAACAACAACAAAATATTAGGTCAATCAGATAAAGTTAACCCGTGCCGACTTGAACTTAAAGTTTGAACTTAATACATAATTTTTCATAATTTGCGAAAATTATCAATATTTCCATAAATGTTAGAAATATCGATATTTTTCTCTAAAAAATTCTTAAATTACATTTTCTATAACTTTTATAGAAATACACATTTTTTCATATCTCATACCGCTCATGAACTATGACGAATATTAATTTGATTCTATAAAAACACAATTTTCGTATATTTCTACGTGTATTATTAATAAAATAATAATATTTTGGCTAAAATGATTTTATAAAATTCCCATAGGACTTGTGATGATAATCGTAATACAATTAATATAATATCCATAATAATATTATATTTATCTAATCTCTTTCGTGTAATTATTTCTTTATATTTCCGTACAAAAATATCATTCGATTAAGATAGTAAACAAATATAAGTCTGGTCGTGCTTGTTCTATTACAATTATTAATGTTATTTCGATAGTGATAATATTTGTTTAGTGAAAGCCTAACCTTTAATATTGTCGTACGATTTGAAATTGGTCTGATATTATTTGTGAGGCGCGGGCGATGGCCGGGGGTCAGGAGGGGTTCGCGGCCGAAACGAACGGACGTGGATAGAGTGCGTCACCCGTCACGGGCCTCCCGTCTAAATGGGAAATCCCCGGTCGCGATTCTGCGTATGCCGGTTGGTAAAATCGAGATTTTTCTAGAAGAAAAAAAACCATGGCGGGCGACCGCAATGCAAAATATCCCGTACAGATACTGCGACTACGTTTTAATAATAATAATATGGAGAATCGACTGGTTCGATTAATTTGCTATTACGAATAATAGCTATAATGATAACGAAAATGTAGGTAACTTAGTTGGGTACTCACCGAAAACGTATCAATCGGAGACAGACGCCAATTCTCGGCGAACGGTTATCGCAACTGCTCGCGTTCACGGTATTCACAATATTTTTAATATGCGTAGACGCGATCGACGTGCGCCAAAAAGATAAAGCGAACACTGTTAGAAAATCGACGGAAAAAAAAAACCGAAACGTTATAATATTATACGAACAAACCACGACGGCGACTGTGCGTGCGCGACCGCGTCCCTTGGAAAACTTACTGCCGAGTGTGATGCGGCGCGGGGAGAGGGGGCAGGTCGTCGACAACCGATTTTTCGTAACGAGATCCATCGATGGATTTCTTGGCAGAAGAAAGTTGACGACGCGGGCCTACGGGCCAAACGTTACACGAGTTTACGCGTTTGGTCCGTCGTGGGCCATTCGCCCGGACCCGACTCCCCACGGCTCCTCCTTCGGCCGGAGCCGAAACCTCGTCGCTACCCGTGATCGGTCACACTGTTCACGGGCCGACCGGGGACCACAACCGCGGTATAATTACGGTGTCGTTTCCTATTGCATAGGTATAGCCGTGCCGAATCCGTGTGTCGTCGTTTCAATATGGCGGGCACGTCTCTACGATTTTCGTCGGGTATAATATCCGTCGGTGTTTTCGTATGCGAGCGTGATAATTTTTTGTGCCGGGTGGTTTTATTTTTTTATATTTCAAAGTTCGGGTTTCCTCCCCGTTTTCTTTACAGTAAAACTATAGATCGCGAAACTGTGTCGTCGAAATCAGTGACGTAGCCAGTGAGTAGGCCTGCTAGACCCGGGCCTACTCAATTTTCTCCGGAAATCAACACAATTTTAAAATAAAAAATTTGTATTAATAGGCTTTCCTATTCAAACATTTCAATTATTCTATCTGGCCTACCCAAAAAAATATTTCTAGGTACGCCTCTGGTCGAGATAATCATTCGCCGAAAGCTGAGCGCCGACGGAAAAACTGTCGGCGGTGTGAGTACACATTTTATTACATTGAAAACCAAGTAGTCCGAGTTTATAAAGGTTTCGCAAGTTATAGTTTCTGTTACACTTAAGAATCACCTCCTGACAGGTACGATAAAACGTTCACGATTTTGTAATTTCCGTCGAAACTTTAGTCTTTACCATTGCAATATTGTAAGCTGTGCCGAGCCTAGTGAAATCGGCGACCGGTATTAGACAAATTGCTCGATTGCCGTAAAACCGGGACTGTTTTTTTAAATTTTCAATAATGGCAAATTTATTTTTATTGCAAACACATATTTTTTACCCTGCATCACGAACTATTAACATATTCAATAAATAAGTAGAAAAAAACTTGGGAGGGTTATGGAGGGGGCTTAGTTCCTAAAGCCGTCCTATGCCCCCTATTCGTGCCTATGTCTTCGTTTATTATACAAATATTCAATTACAGAATTTTAAAAAATTTCATTGACACCCCTGTGGTCATAGCGTCCGTTGCGTGAGCACCTCCCTAAGCACGGCTCTGATTGTAAGTAAAGATGTTCTATATCTATACTACGGTTCTTATATTATTGTCTATACTCTATATAATATTATTTTTTACGAACAGATATTGTATTGATAGTTTGCTCCCTTTTTATTCAAATAGGTGCGCGTTAGTAATGCTTAGGCTGCTTAGCTACGATATGTGTATTTGGACTGTAATTTTCACGACAATTTTGGAATATTCATATCAATTGAAAAACATTTAAATTTACTTTAAACCAAATAAATGATATAAAACTATGGTCAAACTACATAAGTATATATTAGAACTAATGTTACGTTAAAAATTAATGAAAGTTACATTTTTGTTTTTTCGATAATTTTAAAGATACTTTTTTTTAATGTGTTATTTTTATGTATAGGTACACACATATTGTACATTTTTTTATTATTTAATTCGAATTATTAAACATTTTTAAATCGTACGTACGTGAGTAAAAATTATAATATTAGGTAAAGTAAACCGTTTCTAATGGTAAAACGTTAGATCTTACAGCTAAAGTATTGCTATGGTTAAAAACCCTTAAATATTTAAAACTATAACCAATTCTTATTACAGTTATCAAAAAGAATTTAATTTTAACAGTTACTCATTTACGAATTCTAAATGTATAGGACTATTTCCCAATATGTGCCATTCTATAAAAAAATAAATAAATATGATTTTGAATTGTATTAAATATAAATTTGTACCTACAAAATCTTTTTTTTATTAGAATACAATACAGAACAAAATTAGAATAATTTAAAATCGTTCGATTCGTGATTAACGCATATCTAGTTGTTATTTAATCTAAGGCAAAGGTTTGTCGTTGCAATAACAATGACTGCTGCGTGTATAATGATTCAGCTGTAGTGAATTCAAGTACATTATAATTCGCAAAACAATAAAGTTATTGGGATATCTCGGCGCAGGTAATAAAATATCAATATATTGTATTATTGTTCGCCTGACCGGTTCGCGACGAATATACGACCGATCATATATTTTCTTCCATGATGTAGAACCGCTTCGCCCTGCTGGCCTCCTCCGAGCTTGAACCGACAAAGTGCACCAGTCGCCTACAACTGCCGTCGTCGTCGCGTTAAATTATTTGTCGTGTCCGTACGGTTTCTTCGCCCTCGTCGCGTGTAACTGTTCACCGTCGTGATTCGCAGTAGCTATTACATTTTCGTGTTTGTAAATGCGCGTTCTGTTTGCGGACGCAATTATTACAAACGCGCCGTGCCGTGGTCGTTCGTCCGGGCCGTTCACCGTTTCGCCGCGGCCTCGCAACTTTGTAAAATTCGCGCGATATCATTTCGTGTGTGCTTCACGTCATTTATTCCCGTCCGCGAATCGTGTGTTCGCTTCCGCGGTAGCCCGTCGATCGTCGCCGTCTTGTCACATGGCGTCGTCCGTCGTCCGACCTAGTCGAGACCTAGTGCTGTCCGTCATTACAAGCGGTCATTTATGACATTGTTTTGCTTGCGGCTCTTGAACTCTATAGTTTTCGTTGGCAGACGTCCGCTATAATTCCGTTCCGAGAATCCGACGCCCGCGATGGCCACCGCGACCGGTATCGGTTTTCTTCGAAAACGTTGCAATCGTTGGGTGGGCCTGGGCCCGTCCGGCCCGCCTCTTCGAGATCCGTGTCCACTGCCAGCGTACCTGTACGCTATTTCAATTGGCCGAGCCGGCGGTGCGGCTGTTGGCGACACTGCGGATATTTTTGCGCAAAAAACGGCTACGTAATAATTTTGTCGGGCGTTAGATTTGTATGCCAATCGCGAATTTCGTTCGTTCAATTTAAAGTTCGTTTATTCGTTTGTGACGAAACGTTATAGAAACTGTCGATTTCGCCGCATCGAAAACTCAACCGCCGTAAAAGTGTCGTACAAATGTGCTACAAGTTACGTTAACTTGACTGCTTCATACCACGGTGAGCAAACCAAAATACAATTTTCCGAACTAAACGGCGAACTGCGAATCCAGTCGTAGGTATCCCGCAGTCATATTTTTTCATGGGTCTATGGCCATGATTTCGGAATTAATCCTCCATACCGTATTGTCTTGTATTTATTTTTTTCCTGTGAAAATACCTAACAAGTATCGGGATTTCGAGTTTCGGGCGGCGCGCCAAGATGTCGGAAGCTGGGATTTCGGGAATTGGACAAGCAATAATAATAATAATTACAATACGACTAATCGGCGACGCAAATCTCGATTACATCAGACTCGTACGAACCACTAACCGTCTTAATCCGTCCTTCCATCCGCCACCGTCGGCCGCCGCGCTAACCGATCTCCGTGACGCATTTTCTTAAAGGAAAGTCGTGTAGTTCACCGACCGACGAACTCTTACTAATCGTACAATTATATATTATTTGCGTGCGATGTTTCGGTCTGGTTTAACGGTAGAACATTTTTAGTGATTATCCACCGAGTGTCCACTACCCGTCCATTAAAAATAGCTCCTCAAGCAGATTGACCAAACTTTGACCTTAACTTATAGACTACCTCTAGTTACACCTCCTAACAAGTGAATACATTTCCTGCATAAAATTTAATATTTGATTGAATTCCTTAGCTTCCACTATGTGATTTTCAGTATTTTTAAATTCTATGTCAAGTGATATAATGGCTGCATAATTATTACATTCATCCAGCATTTATCTATTAAAACTAATTAATTTTCAATATGTGAAATAAACCTAAATTAAAGAGGAAAAATGTATGAAAATACATGATTTTTTTTTATTACATAATAGTTATTATTCATTATAAATGTGTTAGCAATTTAAAGTATGAAAATTATTTATTTATTTATAAATTATAATTTTTGGCTAAAACATTGCAAGTATTTTCGATTTCTTAAGCATTAGGTAGATTAAATAATACTGGAATACATCCAAAAGTTTCTTGATGATTAATTTATTATTCATTAACTATTAAATTGTCAATGGACACAATGAAAACTTTTCTTTTAAACAATATTTGTCCATCAGAATTATTCTCAAAATTGATTATGTTTTGCCATATAGAATCAAATAGAATCAAAAGAAATAACACTATTAAATATTTTTGATTCATATTAAAAAATAGATAAACAATTAAAATTAAAATTTTTTTTTCCTAGTAACTTCAGCTTTGTAAATAAAACATTTAGATGTTTCTATTCCTATTTCTTTAAAATATTTGAAATCCTTTCTTATTGCAATTAAATAATCTAAAGATTTGTATAGTTGTATTCCTAGATAAATATTAATGGCTTGCAATTTTGTATTTGTAAATCTAAAATACTAAATCTAAAAACAAAACAATATCAGTTAAACAATGATATTTGAAATTTTCCACCAAATTGGTTTCAAATTGTGTTATTTAATACTATATGAATCTTTAGACACTGTTACGTATAAATACAATTACCTTTGTTATTTGTTAAACATTTAAAGTTAGTATTAAACAAACACTAATAATTAAATTATGACATAATATTAACATATTTTGTTAGATCAAAACACTTATGGTTACAAACATTAATATACAAGTTACACCAAACTTAAATTTAATTTTCAGAAATTTAATTGTTTCTAAAAAAATACCCCGAAAAATACCTTTTAATTATTGAGTACACAATACATATATACACAACTATACAAGTTCAAATATATTTACATCAAACTTTTCTAAAATAGAGTACCATAAATAAGTCGTTATACCTATTTCAGGCCTTTTTAGTAATTTAACAAGCCCTCTTGCTCCATTTATACATATGACTTTTATTTAAAACATTTTTTACATCACATGCAACAATCATTTTTGAAAAACTCCTTAGTACATATCAGGCATCTGCTTTCATAATCCAACAAGTAAATCAAAGTTTATTTACAGAAATATTATTTTTTTAATGTTTTTGAAAATACCATCTGCTAGTAAAGTTTGAGAAAAAATTATAAATTTTTTATAATATTTTGAAAAATTACATTGATGATGCACAACTTGTTAGATCTAACTAGATTTAAGGAATGGCCAGTACATGGCACATATTCTGCAAGAGAATTAATATTTTTATTCTGGTTTTTACCTATCAACTTTAGTGACCAGACTTGTAGGTTGCGTTATCAAAGCTCTGACCTCTATAATCTTCAATTGGTATTTTATTGTTATTTAATACTTCAATGACAGCACCTGCAAGTTCCTTTAATTTATGGCCAAATTTTTCAATAAACATAAAAAAATCTTTCTACTGGATTGCCTCCAGAAAAAACCTACTGAAACACTAACACTAATTGATCAATGTGAGCAATATGTTGAGTGGAATCAACTATAATATAATAATATCTTGCTTAATATTTAGTTTTTCTTATATCTGACAGTACCTATGTTTTTATCATTGAAATGTGTAATTTCATAATTTGTTTTGGATAAGTAAGATTGTGTACCTACCTTCAACAATATAGTTTATATACTGCACAAAAATATTGAATAAACTAGCCATTTTCTTAATATTTATTCATATTTTTGTGAATCAATAGGATTTTTGCATTTTCAAAAATAAAAGCGTAATGAAAATGATTTGTTTAATATAGAATATTTGTTTTACTCAATTGACTATAAAGTCAATTGAAATGTTTAGATCAGAGGTTCCCAACCTTTTTTGACTCACGACACCCTTTATTAATTTTTAAAAAATCCGGAGGCACCCTATGGCCTATGCCATATACTCTATAGTCTATACTGAATACACATACCTATATATATAAATACAATATAATATGTGTATATATATATATATATATATATACACATATTATATTTGATAAAATAAATTATCACATTGAACATTAACTATATATTTTATATTTAATTATTATTTTAATATTTGATTATACAAATTAATTAAAAATTAGATAACTTATGGAATTAATGTGACACTTGGACTTGTTTTTTTTTACATAAATATTTTATTCGCAGTCGAATAGTTGAAAGACATACTCTCGTTTCTTTTTCAATGAACAACATTTTCAAGAGTTGAAAATCCTTGTTCACACAAATATGACATAGAAAACTGCAATAATACATTTAGAGCTTTTTTGCCAATTATAGTTTGCATTTTTTCAACATGAATCAAAAATTCATTTAATGGAACATTTTTATATTTTAATAAAAGAGTTCCATTGTTTTGTATTTCAGCTAGCTCTTCTTCTTCTTTAAGGCTGAATTCAGTCGAACTTATATTTTTATCAAATGGGTCATGATTATGTATTTTTAATAAATGACGCTTCAACTTGGAATCATTAGATAATTCCACTTCACATACAATGCATTTTAGTTGAGGACAATTTTCATTTCCATACCAAGTAAATCACATAGCTAAATAACCGATATTATGTAAACGTGTTTTAGGTTTTTTTGCTAAACCAGTTGAACTAGAACTACCTTGATTCGATTTATTCGATTTTTACTTAATATTAAGGTTAGATAAAATCTCGCCTTCATCTAACTTTCGTTTTTTAATAATAAATTTATCCATTATTTAAAGTTTAAATTTTAAACTAAACATATTTAAATAATAATAATTTTATTACTGAAATATGTTTCAGTAGTAATATAAATAAGTGATAACTTTATAACAATCCACATCGAAGCAATCGAACCAGTATGAAAATTAAAATAGATTGAACATCACAGTATTACTATGTAAAAATTATATGTATTATATCAATAATATATTAAATTATATTGTATATAATTAATTATACACAATAGGTTTTATACTATAGACAGAATATAGTCTGTTTTATTACTCATAGTGCTATATCTTTCATGAAGTTTTTCATAAAAAAAAAAAAAAATATATATTTCAATTAATTTCGTGGCAACTTGGTTGGGAACCTCTGATTTAGGTACCAGTAGTACAAATTTGATTTGTTATTTACTTGATTTTAGTTATTGATTTAATCATATAAAACATATTATTACTTACCTATTAGGCCTACTAGGTACTATACTGTATAGGTACAGTACTGTTTCAGTGATATATTTAATTTCTGTCTAATATCTAAATTATGTACCTATTTATACTAAATATATTATTTGGTGTACCTGAGAAAAAAAACATTTTACATTATTGTCTATATAATACTGTTCATACTTTGTTTCAGAATAATTAGCATCTGGTCTGCAGTAATAAGTCCGAATTTTGTCACGGATGGTGATGAGGTAAGTGACTGTATTTATATTTAGTCTTTTAAAAGAAAGCTGCTGGTTATTTATTTCCATTATAACTAAAATTACTACAGATCAATATAGATAAAATATACATAATATAAATCCTACCGGTTTCAATTAATTGTGCATAATTGCGTAAAATTTTTAATTTTAGTTTAGTTATTATTTAATTTTAGTTTTCTTGGTAAGTAGGTTGCTGAAATTGCTTTACGTGTAATTACTCACTAAATATTGTCAATTACTTTGTTATGAATAAAATAAATTATATTCAACCTTTATGATATATAAGGTACCAACGTATTATTGTGATACAATATAAATAATAATAATAGTAATAATAATATTAAGTTAAAAATTTAGAAAACAAATTAGTTTTTGAGCCCGAGAAAATTATAACTCTCATAACTGATTGCTTAAATTTGTTCTTTCTTAATAGGTTGTAATTTTCTTAGATACTAAAATTTAAGATTTTTAAATTGAAGGTTGATTAAAAATAACATAAAATGGGTCCTATAATATTATTGTTATAATTTTTTAATTATTATAATCTGTCTATTATATAGTCTTAGTAGCCATACTAAAATACTATAACTGAAAATACATTTATTTTAAAATGAATCACTTTTACAGTTACTTGATTATATTGTTCTTGAATCAATGTTTAACATTATTTGTCGTGTATTTTCTGAAGTAATGAAAATTATAATTATTTAAATAATATATACATTATTTGGTATAGTTTAATATAATGATAATATTCTACGAATAATAAAACATAATAGTATTATGGCTATGAAAATGTCGAAGTGCTTTAAAGTAAAACTTTTTTCCTTTCGATTTTGACATTTTACAACTAATTTACATATAAATTTGCTGTCTAATTTTTTGTATACTTCTCTGAAAATAAATATTTACATTTGTATGTATATCAGTATTGTATAAGGTGACGCATCGAGGAGTTTTGAAAGCGCATTTTCTTTTTAAGTTTTTACATTTTCCCGTGACACCATTTATCGAGTCAATTATCTTCACCCTCCCCACCCTCTTGGTGGTGCTACGGTGAAGATGGCACTACAACGTAAACAATTCTCCTCAAAAAATGTACACTAAAAAATGTGAACAACGAATAAACCGAATACAAACACGCAGATGATGTTCTTACCATTAGTTTTCAATAATTGGTCAATTCACTTTAATATTAAAACTAACAGGACAACATTTTTTCTGCTGAACGAAAATTTGCTATTTCAAGCAATTTGAAGACGGAAGCGTTGACACATAGCGTTCACTTAAGAATATTATAACTCTAAAAATGTTTGATCGTATAGTTTTTGTCTATTTGATAATGTGCATAAAAATTAAATTGGCGTATAATTGTGTAATAATTTTTGAATAAAAATAATGCACATGACGCATTCGATAGGTGATAAATAATTAAATCGAATTCAATATACATTAATGTGCTTTGATTTAATTACTTTAAGTGTATTATTTTCTTAAGTGGATCATCCGAGTGAAGTTATTAACTCTTGATTTATATGCGTCCGAGATCGTTTGGGATCTCGTTGAGTAATATGTGACCTCGGCAACTGCAGCAGTGCTTCGTGGGTATTTTTTTTGTTTCAATAGCTTATCTCGAGTATGAATAATTTAATATAGTACTGATTTAGGTGTACTACTGCAATTGCGTGGTATCTCAAGAAAATAAAGTTACCCGATTTAACGTCGGATTACATTTAGGGGAAAGGTCTTTTGAAGGGATAAGAGAGGGAAAGAGGAGGTGAAATATGTTAGCGTATAATTAATATACTGCGATGGTGTATGTTTCCGGGCGAACTTGGACAAGTCGCCGTCGCCATTTCGACGTAAGACCACTTCGTCGTTAAAAAAAAATAATACCCAATTTATTTACAATATATAAGGGTACGGAAAAAAGATCAGTACAATTACTTTTCTTTTCCGACCTTAGAAAAACGTGTTTTTAATTTCGCAACGTAACAATTTTATTTTTCACAAAGTAAAAAGTTTCTATTAACTGTTAAGTTAAATGTTAAATTTTGAAATGTAGTTATCACAACGCAATATTATACCATATTATATTATTAACCATGGCTATAACATGTATTATCCCAACACTTGTCTGGTTCTTTCTCGGTATGGCGGTATCAGTTGACTTGCCAGTTGTTTTTTTCCTGTAGGCCCAAACCTCTGGCGCTCATTATACTTTCGAATGATATGGATTTTCCGCCAGTTAGATCGCATAAAAGATAAACGTGTAAATACAAAATTGTTTGATCTAGTATCGGGATTTTGGAAAAAAGATGACTTTTCTGGTTTTTCCCCTGTACCCCATTGAAATTGTTCACTATAAACAAAATTTACGAATAGTTTATTAATATAATAATTGTTGCCTATCGGTATTAACAAGAAACCCATTAAAATAATCTCAATAATAGGTACCAAATTAGTGTTTATAATATTAACACATATTGTAATGCTCACGATATATTCAAATATCATGACGAATCATAACGTTATGTTAGGGATTTATATGTATACAATATTTAATTATTTTATTTACAATCAATTTTTAGTTGTTATTACAGCACGTAGGTATCTACAATAATATATTATATTTGCGTAACAGCTGTATGTAATCATAGGTGTACATTTATCTAATACAATTTTCATATAATTGTATAATATAACTACTTGAATTTGGATCGTTTTTTATCAGTTTTTTTTTTTTAAATTTAAATGTCCTTACGTCGAAATGGTGACGGTGACTTGTCCTAGCTCGGTTTTCGGAAAGTATATATTACACCTTAAACATTTCCAACTATTTTCACTAAGAGCTAAACTATTATAATATACGGCTATACAAGCCGTCCAAATCTTGATAAAAATGTAAAATTTAGATTTATAATATTGATCGAATAAAATAATTGAATCGTTTATTAGTAGGGAAAGGATTTTAATTTAAATAAATATTTTTATGTAGTTTTAATAACAGAATAATGTTATGTAATGTGTATGTTTAATTTAATTTTAAATAAGCTGATGCTAATTTTATTTTAAATATTTTTAAATAATTTACAAATAAATATACGTATTCTGTATTATTGTAGAATTTCAGTTTTTATTTTAGTATTTTACGATGGATGAAACGATACGATTAGGTTTGTACACTTTTTGACATCAAAAGACAACCATTCAATATCTTATCTAGAAAGTAGGTATACATTTTATAACTCGGAGAATATATACGCATTCGCTTTTCGATCAGTGTTCGTATGAACGTTACTCGATTACTAAAATCGAATTGTCGTCATTTTAAATTTGAAAATTTGAAATTATATATCGTGTCTAACTGTTTCCCTCATAAAGACTATTTAGATGATTCAGAATAAAAATATTTAATCTGTGTTATGTATTATTTATAAATTATAATGAAATCTATCTTATTTTCAATTTAAATATTTCAATATTATTAATAAATATTTATTAAGTAATAAACAAATATATATTTAAATATTTTTAATTTTATACTAAATTAAAATCCGTTCTTTACTTATTAGTCATTAATTCATAAACTCTTGGAAGTCCAATTTTTCACTTTGAGAAAATCTATAAAAAAACCATTTTACGTTTTAAAAACTTTAAACTTTCAAAAATTACTAAAAATACTTGACTATACTCTTTCTTACAGAAACATGTATCGTATTAGCTCTATGACATACTGGAGGACGGAAAATGAGATTGTATACTTTGCATTTATCAGGTTTTCACAATAAATAACTCGTAATTAAGTAAACAATAGTTATTGTTTAGGTATAAATAACTTTAAAAAGACGGACATACTTTGCACGATGGGTAGGTCACTGTTATAAGTGAGAGGTTGGGAAAGTAAATGGGAAATTTAATATATATCTGTAGGTAATGAAAAATGATTCTGAGTGTAGTTCAGTTAATTTAGTGTTGCTATTTGTCAACATATATATGTCATATTATAGTAAAATAATTACACCTATTATCTCATTTTTCCTACATTTTTAACCAGTTTTTCCCATCTATTATGG